ATCTCTTCTTTTATCAACTTTTTTCCCTCCATTATTAACCGGTCTGCATCAAGCTACAGCATGAACTGAGGCCTCCTGTGACCTTTGTTAGTGCTCTACCTTGTTCTGTTCTTCACTTCAGTTTAGATGCTGCAGATCTTAATGTGTGAAACTAAATATAGACCAAATGAAACTGACCTCAAAAGCAAGTTGGTTTCCCTGTGACACAGTTACACTGTTACTTTCATGTTTCTATGTCTAAATTTTCTATTTTTTTGTTGATGTCAGGAATATGAAACAAAGAGTGGCAGAGCTGGATCTGGCAACCCAACATCTCCGAGGCAGAGTGTGAGGAAAAACCTGGATTTTGAGCCTCTCTCCACCACTGCGCTGATACTAGAAGACAGACCTGCGTATGTAAACACAAACGGCGCAGTCACATTTTTCTTTCCCTCTCACTGTCAGCTGAGTTTGCTTATCAGACATAAAAGCCAATCTCCTTCTTCCTCTCATTTCTTATCAGTTCTCCTTCCCCTGCCAGGTCGTTAGGCTCTGTTCTGCATTGTTTCAGCTCTCACTGTTTCCCCGCTTGCATCGCAGATGGTAAAAGAGACGTGCTGCTGAAAGTTTAATGGCCCTCGCTGAGCTTGGTTTCATTACCCTCCCTTTTGTAAATTTTTTTTTTTTTAAGCATGTTGTAATGTTTTTGCATTCAGGCAGACAGACATGCCGGGCAACATCTTTGAGTACTGCTGCTTAGCCGTGAGCCAAGTGTATGAAAACATATTCAGACACATTTCCTCTGTGAACACCAGGAAGTTTATTTTGACACCATGAATGGCAGAACTGCATTCAGCTGCTGCTCCCTTTGTGGCATGCAGCCTCTCATGTGTCTGCACACAAGCTCTGAACCTGCAAGAAAAGTGCAAATGATGTGTTTTTTATAACAAATGTGACTAACCATAGCATATATATTTTAACATTTATTTTGCTGTTAACAAAGATGATTTATTTTAGCATTGTTACTAATGTTGTTTTTCACATTGCAATTTAATAATTGAATACGTTTAAATTTAATGCCGTTTGTATTTATGTTTATTGTCACAGTTGATAAGAGTATAACAAATATAGTCTGATGACTTTGGCACATATGTATATAGCATTTTATACACTGTTGGAAAAAAAATTAAAGGAACACTTTTTAGTCGGAGTATAGGATCATGTCACTTAAGTAGCAGAGCTGCTTAATCAGGGAGAGACGACCAGCACAGCTGAAACTGAGCCTGGTTCTGCTGGAGGTTTCTTCCTGTTAAAAGGGAGTTTTTCTTTCCCACTATCGCCAAGTTGGGGGCTTTTCTGTATGATTGTATCCTCTATCATATCATAGAGCACGTTGACGCGACTGTTGTTGTGATTTTGTGTTATATGAGTAACAGTGAATTGATCTGCTTGAACTTCATGAAAGCAGTCCAAATAATGAAAGTTGTGTTACACATTGTTAACCATATACACAGTTTTGATACGTTTTTTTTGCCATGCAGAATACTCAAAGCAAGATAGTGGAAAGGAAAACAATCTTCACTGTAATGATTGTAAATGTTCCTTTAGTTCATTGTGTTTTCTTTTCTTTTCTCAAGGTCTGTTGTAGTACGTGCTGTGGAGTGTTTTCTTTATCAGTTTGACTGTTGTCTTGGAATATAGATGTTTATGTTCCTCCTTTATGTTCTTTCCCTGAGCCTATTCCGAGTCCTTATTCCAAGAATAAACTTTGTTGCCAGGGGCTGATATATAAAGTCAAAGGTGTTGAGAAAATTTAAATACTTATTGATTTTAACCAGCGACTAGCACGACATCAGCCAAGTGATTTAGAAAGATGAAAAAAAAGAAAAAAGGGTCATCTAATGTTTGTAGCATGTTAAAGAGGCAGTAAGTTGAATTTACTGGAATATAAGCAGCTGTGTTCACTCCATAAACACATGCAGCTTCCTGTCCTGATGTTCTTTTTATACACTCCAAGATTGCTCAGCATGAGTAATGCAAGAGCACATAGTTGCTAACTGTGTGTGTGTGTGTGTGTGTGTGTGTGTGTGTGTTTGCATTTGCATGTGCAGTAACCTGCCTGCCAAGCCAGCTGAGGAGGCACAGAAACACAGGCAGCAGTATGAAGAGATGGTGGCCCAGGTTAAGAAGAGGGGTGAGTTCAGTGGAGTGAACTGAGGCTGCAGCTTCAGCATCAATGTTGCTTTCTTTTTTTTTTCCCTCCAGCCTGGCACACTACACAATAGTTCAGACTCTATTTCTGACCAGTCTGTTGTCCGCTCCTCTCTTTCCCGTGTAATTTTATGTTTAATGACTTCTGCAGAGTTAAAAGAAGCTCAGAGGAGGAAGAAGCAGCTGGAGGATCGATGCAAGCTTGAAGAGAGCATTGGCACAGCAGCTCAGACCTGGAACCAAGACATCCTGCCTAATTGGAGTACAGTGTGAGTACAAAAAAGACTCTGGTTTGAATTATAACATATTTAACAATAACAAAGCTCATTGCTTTGCTTCGGTATATTCAGTTGTGCAGTTAGCTTCCATCCCAACAGCTAGAGTCACAACAACAAAAATGCCGTATCAGTGTTTAGCATTTGTGTTTAGGTGGCTACGAAGGTTAAGCCTGATGTTGGTCCTCGCTGCATGTTACACTGCGGGATTACATGGAGCTTTACTGCCGTTTTATTCTGTTTAATGCAGAACTTGCAAAATGTGCAACATGCTCAATGTGCAGTATTTCTTGGTCAACATGTACAGTATTCAGGGTTTGTACAGGTGCTTGAAAATGCTTGAATTTGACCCTGAAAAAAGCAGAACTATAGGAGTGTACATGTTGGAAGAACACGCAATAGTGTTGTTGACTTTGGACTTGAATTTTTAATGAAATACAAAGAAGTACAAGTCAAAGAAAATAATGACCAACAAATTCAACTCGCTATTCCTTTATTACCACATAGACAGTTTTACTTCTCTGCCTGCTTAAAAGTTTACTGAATCTTCAATATTTGATCCTTCTTGGGAGCATTTAGTACACTGCTGCTGTTAGCCAGCACTGCAGGGCGGAAATGCACTATGCAGACATAAGAATATAACAAGACATAACTTGTTCTGGCGGTTAAGCTGGAAAAACGCGTTCAAACCAGTGTGGTCATCTCAGGTAATCTTCATAAAAGTACCAGGCTCCTGCTGCAGGTGTACTCCTTGATTAATATGTGACTAATTCACTTCACACTACCAAACATCACTACAGTACTGCTGCCAGATCGTTCCTTTAGTCTATTGTATCTTTATTACTACAACAATACAAACATAAGACAGTATAGATGGTGTTAGACTGAAGGAAAGTGTTTTTCTTGCTTTCGAATCAGTGGTTTTCCAATTAGGTTATTGTTAACCTACAGCCCACTCTATAAAACATTTTTATCATAGACTCTGATGTGCTTAACATTTTTCCCCTCTAATCCCCCACTGCTACAGGTGTACATCTCGACGAGTGAGGGACCTCTGGTGGCAGGGCATCCCCCCCAGTGTCAGAGGGAAAGTGTGGAGCCTGGCTGTGGGCAACGATCTCAACATAACACACGGTACGTGGGAATGAGTGTGTGTGTGTTTTCTCAAGTTAAAAGATCTGTTAGCAGGCCAAACCTTAACCGAAAAACTGCCAGCTGGGTTAACTTAACCTAGCCCTGAATTATGTCTGCAACTTAAAATGTAACAGTTTCTTTAATGCGAGCGTTTTGATGCTCAAAAGTTGGTGTTCTTCTCATTGGGTGATTGCAAAAACACACATCCCCACAAAATAAGTAATAAAAGCACACACACACCAATTTGTCTCAGTGTTTGTAGTTGAATGTGTGGCAGTGAGATGGATGGAAGAGGAAGGAAGAGCGTGTCCATTGAGGAACACGGTCCAATAATTCCCCCAGTACACGAGAGAATGTGCAGCATTTCAATGACTTCGCTCATCCTGCACAGACGTCACACACACACACACTACCCTCATCTTCCTCTTGAGAATGGAGTACAAACTGAAATTGGCATTCCTTAGACTGTGTGTTTGTGTGCATGCATGCTCAAGTGTGTGTGTGTGTGTGTGTGTGTGTGTGTGTGCTCCTCAGCACCCTCAAGGCTGCTTGCAGATAAGCACTCTCTCTGACTGCTGAGCTGGTCTGCTCCACTTTGTGCTATTCATCGTTTTAACTGGAGCTACACTATCCTACACACCAAAACACACACTGCAGTCACACACACACTCGTGGAGTTTTCAGTCCCTCTAAAGTAGTGCGTCAATTCATGGGCAGCTCAGTGACAGCACTCCCTCACTTTCACAGAAGCATTTTTATTATTGATGCTAATGCTACTACTAATGTCTTTGACTGGCTTGCAGATGAGTAATATAGCAGAGTAATAATCTGTCTTTAATGATTAGAGAAATTGTTCACTTGTCATAACGTGCAATTATTTACAGCAGCTTTAAATAAATATCAGCTGTTTTAAAACGCCGAGTTAACTTCACTAATCGGTTCCTCCAAACCATCAACGTCTCTATTAGACCAATCACCCGACGGGCTGCTTAAAGTCCTAGCATCAATTAATGCTTCAATCTGTCTTTAACGAGCTGCATACCACAGGCTAACCGATCATCAGCTTAACCTCTTCATCCTACAAGCAGCTTGTTGTAGTTCAGATTTGACTCGAGCACCAGTGTAAATCTCCACGTCTCCTCTCTGAACGCTCAATATTAAATCCAGCATCTGAGCACCAGAGGGCAGCAGCAGTTCAAAGGAAAGGCTGCACAGCAGTGCAGTCTTCTGTAATTGGGGGACATGTTTTCTTCAGTCACCTTCACTGTTTGCTGATGCAGAGCACCATAAAGCTGAGTGCTTTCTGTCCATTTATCACGTTCACATTTCACCGTCTTCAAACTTGTGCGTCCCTCCAATCTCTCACATTAACTTCACTGTGCTGCTGTTTGTGTGTCTGTGCAGAGTTGTATAACATCTGTCTGTCCCGGGCCAAGGAGAAGTGGAAGAGCACAGCGACACTCTTCACCGAGACTGAAAGTGAAGGTGGAGTTTCTAAAGAAACTGCTTTAATTTTATAATAATACTCATATTTTTCCAGTTTGTTTTTTTTAATGTGCTGAAATGTCTTGCAGATGTTGGTTCCTCAGACAGAGAGTCAAGTCTCGAGCTCATCAAGCTGGACATCTCAAGAACTTTCCCACAACTGTGCATCTTCCAGAAGGTCAGTGAGAGAGAATTAGAATAAAGTTTCAGCACGATGTGGGTAATGGGATGCACCGAAGCAAAACGTGACTAAACTGAGCAAGACATGAAAGGAACGTCTTGCTTATTTTTGTAAAAAAATATTTGTATGATTGAAACAGGTTTTGAAAGGTTGTAAATGTAAAAAGGTGTGTGTACGTTGTGCGTTTTTGGACTCATTGTTCCATTGTTTTGTTTTTCTTTGTACGTCATCAGGGTGGGCCCTATCACGACGTGCTGCACAGCATTCTGGGAGCATACACTTGTTACAGGCCTGATGTTGGCTATGTAAGTCACACATGCTTAACCAATATTACATCATGTTGTGATACTCACACCTGTGACTGGGGCATGTTACAGCTTCATGTTTAGGACAAAAACACAAAGTGCCACATGAATATCTCAAGTATAGAAAATATTGTTTAGTCATGAGATTCTTACATCTACTGGCGCTGAAATTTAGATTGATTTTTAGATTAAAGACCATAAAGAGTTTGTTAAATAAGAGCATATAGATGAATAAACGAACAAATAAAACAATTTCTGTTTAATACATTTGTTCAGGTAGTAGATAAAACGGGTCATTTTTACACCACAAATATAAGTCTTGTTCCCTTGGAGTCGCTCCACGACTTTGTCTTCTTGAAACTAAAGTGACTGTTCTTGGAAATTTTAAGTGAACTTTGAGATATTGCACCTTGCAGCTCATTGTGTATTATGAAGGTTAAACAGACTTTGATCTCCCACACAACACCTACAGTAGCCTAATATTAGCTTAAAATAAGACGATTCAATTTGCACCAAGTGGGAGGTTGCTGCCACACGCGAGGAGCTGAGTGGGTACTGAATATGAAGTCGGCAACATTTTCTATGCCCGTGTGTGTGATACAGCTCGATACCTGGGCTCAATGTAAGTGCAGCAAAAAGGGGAAAGCACGGTAATTTACCTCAAAGTCACCAAATGAATAAGAAGACAGACAGATGGTATGACTGTCTGTGAGTACGGTTCTCAAATATTTCATCAGTCTGAAAAACAAAATCCTGCCAGAAATAATAGAATATTTATGCCCGATTCCTTCTCATTAAGTAAATAAATGCTTTACCTGCTGTGCCATCGTTATCTTCTTACTCTTGGCACCAAGTATTTCTTTCAAGCACTGATATTTCACTAGGTGTCCTGATTAAAAGCACTTCATACTCATTGGCTTGATTTCGTGCATTTTGTCTTTTTCATATCAATTATAAAACAGTTGTGCACAACCTTCTTTAGCTCCATCATATTCTCCAGTATTTTTTCTCAAAAACCTCCCAAAAGCTGCTAATTGATTGTAAGTAAGGAATATATTGCACATGAATTACAGTTATATAAGCTTTGGTGTGGTAGTAGTACCACATGAATAGTCACTCCCCTCAATGGAATGTATTAATAGATGTGGTCTAACATTATAAAACATGACACGTATTAACATACACAGGCTTTTATTTTAATGAAATCATCAGATTCATATAGAGGATGGTCCTGTTGGCAATCTGTGTGAGCGTTTCCACCCAACTGAAGCTCTGTATGAGGAAAATGATGCATTTTCAGATTTATTACATTATGCCATAGGTTTGTTTTTAGTGTAAATAAAGGTGCTTCAGATTCCCAGTAGATACATTTGTTACTGATGCTGAGAGCTGATCTAAAAGGATAAGTCTGCGTGTTTGGTATCAATCATACGAAGGACAAATGTAGTTAAGTCTCATTTGATCTGGTTTTCTGTTTGCGATCTTTTTTTGGGTTTCAGTTGGGATACATCCATATGTATGCATTTCTTTTTAAGTTTCCTATTTCTGCTTGACTCACTTATGTTCCTTTTTGCAAACTATGATGAGTAAAATGTAGGATGCTATTTACAGAATGTGGGGCTAGCCAACTGTAGAAAAGGGAGCCTGTGATTAACCTCTGCTGAATTACTTATGCACAAGACCACACGTGACAATTTACAGAATTTTCTAAGCAAGCAAAAATTACTTGGAAATTTAGAAGGACCCTCAGGACTGAGCATTAATATTAAAAGCGAATCATTTTTCATTTCTGATAGTATTAAAGATTACATTTATGATTGGCATTAGTGTGTTTAACAGGTGATGTGCTCAGAGTAATTTCTAGAATTCTCTAAGCAACAGATTCACATTTGTTTGCGCTGTTTTGTCTTTTGTTTTTTTGGAGGGATTTTTTGTGCCTCATCACCAGCAACCAGTCAAAAGATCAGTTCTGTGTGACGTTCACTAACCCTAAAATACCGTGCCCAGGAGATTGGTCAGGGGGTTTCTGCAGCATGTAGGTTCCATTTTAAAGTTAGAAGACCTCAAATATTTTCCTTCCATTCGCTCTTTTCTTCCTTTCAAGGAGACTTTGTATTGAGCCTCAGTGACGCCCTGGATTTCCGACTCTAGTTTCTCACGATGCCCTGATCCTCCCTTGTGATACTTTCATGGTTTACTTGATTCCTAGAAATCAAACTGAATTTTTTGGCTAAAGTTTTATTTATTTTTTAAACTATTATTAATAAAATGTATGTTTTTGTTCATTCACAGTGTTGGCCTGTTAAAATATCAAACAAACCAAAAACCCATAGGGGGATGTATTCAGATTGATTACTTTATTCATTAAATCATCCAAACCTCCAAACATTGAATTTACAAGACGTGCGCAGGAGCATTAGCAAACAATCTGCACATTTACAAAGTGTGAACCCAGCAAATATTTGGGATGAAGAAGCAACAATCGCTGGTAGCAAAGCAGTATTTTTAAAAAGTCACCCGCTACATTTTGTTTATGTTGTCAGTTGTAATGGACCTGACCAACTGTGCTCTCTGTTTTATTGTTTCTCTCAGTATCATCACTGTGTGCTCTTACAGCAAAATTGCTGCATTTGCACTAATGAGCAGTGCTGCTGTGGTTTGCCTTGCTGCTCCTACCCGCAGCCCCATGCTTTTGTCTATAGACAGGTAGAAATGACTGTAACTTCCTGCATTTGACCCCAACCCATGAGCAGCTTCACATACACACACTCTCAGTCTGTGTAAGCTGTACCCAGGTTTAGCTCTTTCCATTTCTCCATCAGCATTATCATCTCTCTCCCCAGATTTATTGTCAATACTACTTGTAATACTTGCACATCACTGTCAAAGCGCCTGCACCGATTAATAGTGTCTGACTCAAATGCAAGGTTAGCCGTTAATCACCTCCTGCCAGTGTTTCTGTCTAAATATTACAACATTTGACACGTACAAGCTCGCAC